TTCAAAAAATGACATTGCCACAAAATTTTAAATATGAAATCGATGCATTTTATTATTCGTGTAATCTTTCATTCGATTAAAAAATAGTGTTCGATACGAGGGCGAAAATTTGTTTTTCGAACTCCTGACGGATTGACGTCAAACGCTGTCGTCGTTCGAAAAACGACATTTTTCGCCCTTGTATCGAAAACTACTATTATTTTTCCCGAGTATTTTTTTTATGAAAGTGGCTTAGGGGCATTTCTGGCAACTCTGCTCTATTTTCTTCAGATTATGACAATTTTCTACTGCATCTCCACTTTTCCCGATGATGTTCTTTTTCAACTTTTCGAACTAAACATGTCTCGGGAATGTCCGTTTCGGTTTCTTCTTTGGCTCTGGCTTCTTTCGTCCAGAACTATTTATGGAGATGGTTTGTTTGGGTAAAATTTAAATTAAACATTAAAATGTTTTGAAATATGTGACTCAGCTAATTAAATTAAATTGATATTTTTGAAACGAATCAAATCAAGTGGTGGACTTGATAAGGTCTGACCTTTTGCCGTCGTAACTATTTTAATGGCTGTTATTTATCAACCGCGTTTGAGTCTTTCCGTGATTTGGTCCATTTTGTACATCTGTTGGCAATTTTTCAAGCAATTTGCAGCGGGAAAATGTCTTTATTGATTCGCTAATGATAAGGGCCTAATAGGCGAGTAGTTGAAAAATATTTGCTTGCTTCGCCGCCACTGTTTGGCCAGGTAAGGTGTGCAACGCTACACAAACTCGAAGGTAACGCTACAGCGACTTGCTTACAAAATGGTCAAGAGATTTCAGCATTTCAGTTCACCAACGCTGTTTCTTCATCCAACAGCTGTCGATCGGCAGCGCGCATTAATCTTCAACAATTTGAAGATCCGATTTATCAATTTGATATCACCACCATTGAACTGATTTTAGTGTCACGTAGGGTGCGTGTGAGACAAATTTTCGATTTGTATATTTGGTGATTCAGTTCCGCTTGAAACGGTAAATATGTTTAGTTGCTGGTGAAGAAATAAACAGACCAATAAGGAAAAATGAAAAAGTTCATTTGTGGAGGGAGCTTCCGGTCGAAATTGGTCGAGAAAAATGACGATTTTAAAGTGATCAAGTTGAGTGATAATACGGAAATCAAACTGTTGCGTTCCTCCAGTTTAACCAAGCCGGAACGGTCGAGTTTCAGGAAGATTTTTGTGTTGCCTCCAAAAGCCCCAGACATGAATGCGGTGAACAAGAGGGTTTTTTTGGAACCATCTAAAGAGGTACATTGGCATTTTTTTCTAGAAAAATACATCCGGGGCGATTTTTTAAGCCTCCAACCCACTCTTGTTATGGGGCAATGTCATCGCATTTATTCTCTGCTAATTAAAAGCAAACCTAAGCAAAAACGATTAGAACCTGATTTGAGGAATTACAGCGCATTTTCTTATGTGAAAGTGAAGAATGCGACGAACGTTTGACTGTAAATGGCCTGAACAAGTTTTTCTTATATTTCCGGCGCCAAAAATTTTCATCTAATGACTAAATCAATTAGCTAATAAATACAGGTTTTCACATCGACTATTTCGCGTCGCAGGAATTGTAATTAGGTGCCTCTGGATTTACAGTCGATATTACGAAATAATCATGCGGCATTTTGCATTAATTTGTGTGTCAATTGCCCGGTTTCATGCAGATGATTCATTCACTGAATAGTATTAAACTAACTCGGTACTCTGCAGATCTCCTGCTGAATTCCTGATGTCCAACCCGCATCTGGACGCATAATTCAATTGTTGCCAACTGAATCGATAGAAATGGACGCAATTAATACATTTAATCAATCTCAATGATTTTGATTCGATTCAGTTAGCCAAATGATGGAAATTAAGCGAGAAGAACCTTTTATGCAATAGTGCTTGGCGCCTTTCTTACACTCAACTATTCGGACAATGACTAAAACTGAAAACATATTGATTACCTAATTAATTAAGCGTACGAAGCTCGAAAAGTTTAGTGTGAATGCACTGCGGTTGGTGCTTCTTCGCTACCTGAGTGGCTTTAACGAGATCGAATCGACATTCCTTCAGTTGCATCGAAAAAGGAAGAAATGCTGCAGAAACATACCGCAAACTTGTAACGGATACTCAAGAGTTTCCTCTTCAGTGAAATGAAGAAAATCTGCGCTAATTTGTATAAAGAATGCAAAGTTGTCTCTCTAAACGCTCATACGGCCCACTCCTACTAACAACATTCCATTAGTTAACACACGTTACAAACTATAATAAAAATCTTCGCGTTCAACAAAGGGGTCTTTATCTCGCTCATAACAGCTTCGAACGAAAAAGGCTTGAAGTAGGTAACCAACTAGGCCCACCCAAAACACACTCTTTTCCATTATCACCTCACACATTCCGTAATCTGCCTAGTGGGCACTAAATTTTCCTTAGTAGTCGTTTGATTGATATTCATGGACTTATTTTGTTTGCCAGTGGAAAGTGCACTTCCTAAGAACAAAGTTCTGATGAAGATGTAGTGATTTTGCGCGCAATTTCGAATTGAAAAAACCGGTTAACGGTAAATATCTTCAAAAGTCAAGGGAGCAGAACAAATCCCAAGTATCTTAAGTAAAATGTTCGGTAAGTGGAAAGCAAATAAAGAATGAAACTCATCAATATTCAAGGAGTTTTTACCGGCTAGTCATTTGAATGGCAAAGAAAGCCGCTTACTTTCACGCCAAAGAAACGAAAACTTGTTGGAAGTTGCGGTACATTAAATGCTATTCATTGGTAGGGTGTAGAGAATTTTACAACCTTTGGAAGTTTGCAACGATTTCCTTGAGAAACACACTAGAAGCCTCAGATTCGAAGTAATTAACATGCCACAACAGCCCCAAAAAACAATGTTCGTATTCACTTTTCTATATTCTAATTTGCACGCATTCAATAATCGACCAAAACGCGTTGTTTGAACTCCCATCAACGTTCACTAAACCAGCACATTTTGACCATTGAATATTTTTACATTATCTGCCACCGATAACAACACTCTAGTTCAATTATTAACCTCTAAACAAATTTCTTTTGTTGGTCACCAGCCGAACTGATTATCAAAGCAAATGGCGATCAAAGAGCAAGGCTACCGGTTTTTTGTTAGTCATTAAACCAGTTTGAATTCTAATTCATTTATGTAGGATAATTGCAAAAAACCGCAAATTTTCGGTGTTTGGGCAGTTGATTTTCTTCTCTTTATGTTTGTTGCCAAGTAGATTTCGTCTTCCTTGTAACATTGTTTAAACGCTAACATTGCGAAATGTTATAAATGCTCAAGCAGTGCAGTTTTAACAAAGAATATTACGTCGCAGTGATTAATGGTCACAATTCAGTGATTATGCAAGGTTTTTTCGTCGCGTGATGTCCATTAAATGTTTCAATTGTTCTAGTTAGTAAATGTTTCCATCCATTCTCGTGGAAACTGTAGCGAAGCACATGAAAACGAGGATAGTTTACTAATTTTAAACCAACGGGAAAGGGATGAAAAGGAATCAAGTAGTAAAACCTCCCACGATTACTTAATCAAGCAAACCCCCTATGAAGTCTGTCAGACGGCCCTAAGGCGCTTCTCATACCGAAGCGGTGATTCACACGAAAAAGCCCCAAAACCGTTTACCTGCATATAATTGGGGCTAAAAAGCAGTTTTGTTTTGTTTCTGTTTGTATTTGGGCGTGGGAAGTCAGCGTTTGTAACAACCCAGAACTGCCCATCATTTACGATTATTTAGGAAAAATGGAAATAACACACATCCATAAACAGTTTAACAGCACTAAATAAAAGTATCCTTGGCTCAGAATGCCGACAAAACAATGAACGTCGCTGGACCATGAAGGTCTTGCGACGTGAAGAATGAATAAAATTACCAGAAATGGATGGATTATTGCAGGATAATCGTTTATTAAGTCGGTTTGAGATTGTTCCTGCTAGTTAGCCTGCCATTATCGACCCAATTTGACGTTTCAATATAAAATTATACTGTCTAAATAATGTTTATTGGAAAATTTGCAATTAAATTTACTTTGGTTCTTAAGTTGTCTAAATCGATAATCTGCTCGTATCGTTCGTGCAGATAGTTTTGTCCCCAACCGCGTTACCATGGAAACAAGGCATAACAACACCTATAGCTGTTTGAAATTCATCGTGAGTCCATGTCCAACTAAGAATAAGACGGTCTGCACTACGGTAGCAATATGAAGATATTTTTCAAGGAGCATAATTTTCCCATTCAATTGAAATAAATAGTGGAGTAGAAAAAATCGCCGCCACTGCTGTGGGCCTAGTGGGATTTGATGGGATCTCCGGGCACTCTCAAATGTAAAGTTAAATTATTAGTAATACAGGGCCGTGTTCAGTGGTCGGGCATTAACGTGATCCTCATACTGATCCACTTTGGCGGTGAAAAAGGAAGTCGTCGGACATTATTGCTTTCTAATAACCGGATGTGGATGAACGGGCCTGGATAAGGAAACACTATGGAGAAATGGCGGTAGTTTGCCTATTTGAAACGCCCTTTCAACTATCAAGCATGTTCTACAGGACGTGAATAAACCACTTGAAAGGGCTCAATTGCGAGTTTCGACTGGTTGGAAAAGTGCGAGTTGCAAAACGCCTAATCAATCTAAAAACCGCCGCTCGAACCGAAGGGCAGGAACGCTTTTTTGGGGTTGTTCTGATCGAATTTTAAGCACCCATTGACAGCCTGTCTGCCGCAGGCTTAAAATACTACTTACACCCACTTCTGGCTGTGTGCATTGAACTTTAAAACGTATGCCGAAGAGCCGAAGAATGGTCGCGAGTTCCCCTTAAATTTTTAGTGGGATGCCACCCGCGCCCCTTCTTTTTACTCTGGCACAGAGATGGATTGAGGCATTTCAAATTGTTGATGTTCATGTTGGATTGGGTTTTTGTCTGGTCTTAGTGGCTTCTCCAATTCTTTAAATGAGATTGGAATATTTGCCCGGAATCAAGAAAAGTGATCAAGGGTTGTTCTTCTTGTCTGTCTTCAATAAACTCGGTGGCAAACATTCAAATTACTTAAGGTTGTTTGTTCGTGGTGTTCATTGCCTTGATAAATAGTGCTTTTAAAGGAAATTAAAAACAAGCAACACCCAACTATTGCCATGAAAAATCCCGGACAAAATCCGACCTCCGCCACTGCTGCAGCAATCAACGATTCCGTATAGTGAGTGTGCTGTACTGTACTGTTCTTATGCAGCCTCAGACTTTGAATTTTAGTTGGCTGTGCACCGCGCAAACAAATGCTGATGAAACATGTGCCAGTCGGGCGACGTTTCGGCTACATCGAGCTTGTTTCCGGTTTCCAAATTTTTGTCCCCCCAGTGATTTGTGAATAATCTTGTGGCGTTTTACCAGTGCATTCGGCAATGTCTTGGCTTCGGCGAGTGTCCGATCCAGTTCGGACGTCCAGAAAATTTTCCGGATACGATTTTCCAGAGGATGGCGGATCGTTGTGTTCTGATGACTCGGTATGTAGGGGTTTAAAGCGTTTTGTCGCCACTGATCAACAAATGACGTCGTTTCGGGTTTTTTCGTTGCAGTTATCCTCAGGGAAAGTACTTATGTTGAGCAGCCGCTTTTAAGCGCCGTTTGGAACGGTTCAAGGACCCGCTCTTATTTGATTTTGCCATTATTATAATTTCTCGAATATTTGCTCAATTCGTATGGGCAATTGTACCGGTCAAGGCTGTTGTTACGCAACCAAACAGGCTTAACATTGTTTTTAATCGTCTAGTAAATCGGGCTGTTGTTTGTACATTGGAGCAATAAATAATGGAATTTGTCAAAGTCTTCAAGTCAAGAAAGGTTGCCCTGAGAAAACCTGCGGATAAAAGACGACAAATTTTATCTAATTGGAAATGACGCTCTCTCTGAAAGTTGTTTAATGTCCCACGGTTCCAGCTTTTGTCTGATTCATCACGAAATCATTAAACAACGGGGTGTACGCTGTTGTTGACTGTTCGATGGGTAACATTTTCCCATTAAAGATAATCATCAGTTAAACATGAAAATTAAGTCTGGCAATCGAGAATTATCTGAACCAATTTGATTGCAACTAAAAAGGTAAGAAATATGTGTTTGTCACATAAATACGACCAAACGAAACGTTGTGATTAAAACATCTTTCTGAGACAATGCAAGCGGAAATAAACTGATCAACAATGTCCAGTTGGCGTGTTGGTGCACGTTCAACTATTCGAGCAACGAAAAACAAACGAATATTGAAATCAACCTTTACCGAGTCGACTTTGCTCCCACATGGCATATGGAATAATGGCGTCGGTTAAGACAACAATAAATATGAAATAATGTAAACACCGGCACCAGACTTTGGTTTGAGGTCATTGAAATACACCCGATGGTTCTGGTAACATTTTGTCATAAATTTCCATAAAATTATTAGAAGAGTTTTTCGTATGACTAATAGTAAACCTTGGGGCCTCGACAGCCACACGTTTGCCTGCAATGAATGTTCAAGAAGAAAACGGAATAATTTTTTTCTAAGTTTTCTTCATCGTCAGTTCAGAACGTTCTTGATCGCTGTGCACGTTTATGGGAACGAGTTTTTTGTTTTACTTCGTCGGACAGATGGGAGCAGACAAAATAATGACTAGATAGTGAGTGTGAGAAAGCCTGGATTGATTTTTTCTAAACACTGGCCTGGAAATAGCCTTGGTGTTTTTCTCTGGGCAGACCTATAAGCCGCTGAAAAAATTAACGTAAATACGTTGGCAAAAACAACAAATTGATATAGTTTATGGGAGATTCTTTAACGGGTCGAGGTCGCCAAAGCTAAAATATACTAACACACTGTCCATATGCCTGTATGAAGTCATAAGAACATATCGTGACTAGAGCAGCTTCCTGTTTTCACTAGATAATGTATAGTCACTTTAAATTAGCCACGCTTTGCGGCAACATTCTTTAGGTTCAGTGCTTTTACCGCTTTGGAAAAAATGCTGTTTTTTCTTTCAAGGCACTATTTCTGTCACTGTTGTTGTTCCAACTATGTAAATATGGGGATCATATGTACTATTCGTTTTTATCTAATGGCTCAGTTCGTTTTTCCAATCTTTCCAGGTCAATTCGGTGCATTTAATTTGGCGCCAGCGGTCTTAAGTTGCGTAGCACGGACGCATTTAATGAGCGAAATTAACATTCCGCACAGTGAATGATTTTGTATGTTCCACTAAATGAGTCATTATATCATTTCTTTGCTTCTGCCCAACTTCTAAACAATTTTTTAGTTAAAGGTTTTCCCTAAGGTGTTTCAAAGGCATTTTTTTGTTTGAATTTTTTCAATCATTAGCTAGTTTTAACAATCCAAGTTGCTATTAGGAAGCTTTTGAAGCGAAAACATTTGAGTGAAACCCGACTATTGCCCCAAACCCGCAGCAACGATCAGATCCGATCAGGCGTAGCACTTTAAGATGAAAAATTAAGCTTGTTGAAGGCAACACACGCAAAGTAAAGAAAATACGATGATTAACAATGTAGAGGCTAGAGGAATTGCGTTACACCACAAGGCGATTTTTGCCGATGCAAAAACCGCGTTTTGCCAGACTTTCTAAGGTAATTTCATAGGCATCGGGCAGGTAAAGCCAATGGTTAATTAGCCTGTATCCTTGAAGTGCAGTGAATTGGCAACAAATTGGCTTTTTATTAGTTGAAAATAGTGCACTGTAAGCGTAATGTCAAGACAGTTTTGGCTGTAGTGAGTTGTTTTCTAAGGCGATTTTTGTCTGTTTCAGGTATGTATCCATATTGGCAACTTTCCAGCGAACTTGCAATGTCTCCATTACATCGTAAGTACGGTAAACCACTTTCCACGTATTAATCAATGGCAACAAAACACCGGTTCAAACTTACGGGGAAAGTTTTCTTTTTGTACCACAAACTTGCTGGTAGTTTGTTGATGAAATCATGCAATCGAATCGACTATAAGCTTACTCAACATCAAACAAACCCTCTGACAATTAAACAGGAGATATCTCTACTTCACATGGAGCGTTTCAGTGCTCTGCTGCAGCCCACAGCCCAATTTGTAATATCAGAAGGCGGAAGTTACACTTGGATAATTCGATAATTAAATAGCGTTTATTCGGACATTTAGATAACTGCTTTTATTAATGACGCCAGAGTAAAACAATATTTGTTGAAGCTCATTCATCAAATGTTTCTACCAGTTTTCTATCTAGAGCGAGCTTTTACCCTGCTGCTTTGGGCCTATTGAGTGTCCAAAAATCTCTCAATTTGAAAATTAATCGGAAATTCCATTAGTTAAGGCAGACTTCGTGGCCGTATTGACTAGAATAATCCCCTCAATAAACCATTCAGTCACGGTCCGAAAACCAAATTCCGAACTGGAAGAATTCGAAAAATGCCACCAATTTAAAGTCTGTGTTTTTATACGGTGTAACGAAAATAAACTGAAACTAACGTAAAATTCGAGCTGAGGTTGTTTTCGAAGATTAATGTGTTACGCGGCAGCTAGCAGGGGGAAAAGATCTATTGATTGTGTAATGAAAATAATGGAAAATCGAGCGGTGGAAAACGTAAAAGTCATTTGGAAAATAAAAATATCGGCCGAAATTGATGGGGGCAGCTGAGAGAGGAGGTTTTTTTGTATAGGAAATCGAAATTTTAATTGGCTTGTTTGGCATCAGCTCGTAAATTCCATAACATTTTGGTTGTCTACTGACAAGGTACTAATTCGATTAGATGCTGTTTTATTGTTTTTACTGGCTGTATGCGTTTCTATTAGGAGTGACATATTTTAGAACACTTAATCGGTT